CTACACTGACCCACACCACACGGCCCTCAGAGGACACCACACAGAACAGGCCACAGCTAGTGAACACGCAGCCTCGCTGCCCCTGCCAGCTTTGCTTCTACCCGTTTTGTCCCTGACCTCAGACCTCACGCCATCACCTCTGCCCGTCCCACAAGCCTTCCCAGCTCCCATTCACAACGAAAATAGAGTTAACAGCCGTTAGGTTGTCACTGCCCACCTGCCCCTGCTTCCCTCCTGTGGAGGTCCTTTACCCAGGAGACGCCTTATAGTCATCGCCTCCTGGCATTTGAATGCACTCAGGACTCTGTTCTAACCTTTCTTTTATTTTGATTGTTACAGGGCCTGTGTACTTGCTAGAGAGAGAGAAAAGCAAGGTACCCCACGTCGGGGCATGGTCTTGCTGCAACCCTTTCCCCCACCCCCTCCTTCCAGTCTGGATTTTGGGTAAATACACATGCCCAGGGTGTTTTTCAAGCTGCTGTGGCCAGGATTTGAGCCGCAGCTGGCCATGGGGTCAGGCTCCCTTAATCACTGCAGTATGGGGCCAACCTGGGACTTCACTTTATTTTAAAGTTAATAATTTATTATTATTATTATTATTATTATTATTATCATTTTAGCTTCTTTTAGTCATCAGAGAGAGGCAGTGGTGGTGAGAGTGGGAGGAAAATGAGAAAGCAAGCTGCCAGGTCCGGGACCCAAACTGCAGTCGGCCATATGGGGGGTCCAGCACTCTAACCACCACGCCACCTGCTGGCCCTGGGACTCTGTCTTCAAAATGCTCTCAGCGCCCGTTCATCTGCCACCTTCTCTCCTTCACAGCACCCTGCTGCTCCTGGGTGTCCTGATGTCCTGGCCGTGCCACCGTGCCCACTGAGTAGACCCCTCGACTCTGTGCCAGCCTCCCCGGTTGAGGTTGGCAGTAGCCATCGTCCTTCTGCTGGGGCCCTCTTCTTCATCTGGGTGCCCATGACAGCCCCACCCGTCCCCCAGTTCCCCCATGCCCACACGGACGTCCCTTCTTTCCTAGCACACTGGGACCTTCGCTCATGGCTCTGTGACCTCAGACTTCAGGTTTGTCCACAGACATCTTATCAACTCCCTGCCCCCCAGCACCTTCAGGAGCAAGGAGAATGGAGACTTAGCAAAGTCAAGGGCCACCACCTAATCTGGACTTGGCCACGTGAGCAGGTTCTGACCAGGAGCTGAGCTCCTCTGAGCAGTTCTGCATGAGGTCACCCCTCATTTCTTCTTCCCTGCACCCCCAGCCCAGTCGCTCCCTGGAATCATCTGCACCACATCCCGTGTTCACTCTGACCTCCTCAGCTCCCCTGGAGACCACAGGGCATGTTTATGTCCTTGTAAATGTGCCATGGAAGCTGCAGAGGGTCTCGCATGAAGATCTCCTGCCTGTCTTTGAGTCTCATGTCCTTCCCTCATTCCAAATTCTCTCCCTTCCTCGACATCCGGTCACTCTGCTACCCATGCATGGCCCATGCTCAGGGGCAGAAGGGCTGTCACCCCCTAGCCCCGCTGGCTTGGCTGGGCAGCTTTACAACTCAGTCACCCCTCCTTCCCATTTTCTGAGGCCTATGCATGTCCCCCAGCACCCTTCCCAGCCCAGCACCTCCTTCCTCAGGAAGACGGCCCCCAGGCTCCCCATGGCCACAGGCTTCCCCTCAGCCTTTGCGCCTGACCTGCCACTGCCCAGCCTTTTCTGGAGTGCTATAATGTAAATGTGCATCTGTAAGTAAAAACACACCCATGGTTCCCAGCTGGCTCCAGCCTCCTCTCTGGCCTCTGTTTTAGGCACCTCCTCCCCTCAGGGATGCCAGGGCTTGTTCCTATTCTCATCTGCTCCACTGCCCCTGTGGCCTCCTGCTGGGTGTGGAAAGTCATGCTCAGCCCTGAGTCCTGGCGGAGTCCAGCCACAGATTAGGGGGTCTATCTTCTGCCCCAGGAGTGGCCATGACACCCAAAATGTGTAGTCACAGAGGGCTGAGAGCGCACAGGGTCTTGGGGCCACAGCTCTGGCCCAGCACATCCTGAGGTCGGTTACCTGTGCCTGCACTGCCTGGGCCCCTGCAGGCCAGGTGACGTGGACAGGGCCCCAGGCAGCCTCCTCTCTGCACGGCGGGTCCTGGGACAGGCTACTAGGAAGAAAGGGCCCCGTGGGTTAGGCTGCCCCTGCCCCATCCAGGCCTGAAATCTGCCCAGGACGATGAACACTCAAAATCAGAGAGAAGCTGGTCAGCTAGGGCCGCTGGCCCCTCTGCTGTGCTCAGAGTCTACCCGTGTTCAGGGTGGCCTGATGTAGCTCCACAGCTACCTAATGGGGCCAGGTTATCTCCCCTGTGCATGCTGGGAGAGGCGGCTCAGGTGGGCAGGAGACACTCTGCAGGTGTGGCAGCCCAGGTGCAGCTCCTGGTCACCCAAGTGGCATGTCATTTCCACTCTGCTCGACAGGCCCCACATCACAGGAGCACATGCTCCACTGTGTTTGCACTCTCTGAGGAGTACGCTGGAAGGTTGGGGACCACAGGCACCCTCCACCTCAGCCTTCCCGTCTGGAAAATGGGGATACGAACCCAGAAGCCCACCAACTGGCAGTGCTCGGGGTACGAGATGCCCTTAATGGAAGTTTGCTTTTTCGCTGATTTCGACCATGGTCTCTGTGCACCAGTCTGAGAAAATAAGAGCCAGGGGAACCAGCAGTTAGCGTAATGGCTATGTCACTGGATTCCCACGTAGTCGAACGCGGTTCGCGTCCCGGACCTGGTGGCTTAAAACTCACGCCGGGCGCGTGTGCGTGCGTGCCCAAGATCCCGAGAGGAGAATGGAGAAGGGATTGCGGCGTGACCATACCCCCTGGGGGGTGATTTCTCGCTTTCTGTCTCTATGTCTCTCTCTGTCTGTCTGGCGAACGCACGCGCCCTATAGTAAAAACCTCTAAAAAAAAAAAGAAAAAAAGAAAATAAGAGCCAGCAAGCCTGGGGATTTTCAGACACAGAGGGAGGCAGACGCCTGGAGGTCAGTCCTGAGGCAGGTGTAGCAAAGGCCCCCGGGAGAGAGAGGGTGTCAGGCTACAGGACGGCCCAGTGGGAGAGGCCTGGCTGGGGGAGGAACAGTCCCCAGGACAGCTGAGCTGTTTGAACAGGATCCCAGACAAGTCACCAGGTTTGGTGGGGAAGGGGCTGCTGCAGCTACTGGAGGAAGAACCCCTGGGGGCCAGAGGGCCCATCCCAGACTCCAGGCTCCATCCGGAGACTGTGTGGACTGGAAAGGAAGGAAGTTGGGAAGGTGGGAGGGGGAGGGTCGGAGATGGTTAGTGTTCTACCCCAGCCCCCACCCCCACCCCCACTGCTGCACTTCTGTTTT